GGCAGAGTTGCTCTGCCCCAGGCTTCCTGGAATCAGCCACTGATCAGTTTCAGCAGCAGCTGACTTGGGGTTTTTAAGTTGAATCTGTATGTAAGTCAGAACTGGCGGTCAGTTTCAGCAGTGGCTGAATCTGGACGCCAGTTCCGACTTACATACAGATTCAACTTAAGAACAAACCTACAGTCCCTATCTTGTACGTAACCTGGGGACTGCCTGTATTGTAATTGCTTCTGCCCTGAAACTATTAAAAAGGGACTTGGTACTTTTCTAGTTTGTGTTTACTTTTCTTGCTCCAGGCTGTTAAACCTATTCCAGTTAGGGACTTTTAAGGTGGGGCTCACCTGCAGTGCTGCCCTGAGCTGCAAGAAGGAGCGTGGGGAATGCCAGTAGTTTGGTGGGGATGTGGATATGTAAATCAAATGAGAAATTGGTCGATGTTTTGTCATGTAGAACCGTCAATGACTGCAAAATCCTTGCTAAAATTAAAAAGCATATGCTACTTGTGACATTGAGCTTCAAAGCAGAGCGATACCATACAAAAGGCTAAATCAACATTTATTTATTATACTATAGCAATTCCCATATTATACCATGGACAATTTGCCACTGGCACATCAAAAAGTTGGAGAAAGTTCATCAACTGATTTTGCATACTATCTAGAAAGGTAAATATGAATAATAAAGTTCTGCAAAAAGGTTACACAAACAAAGCAATCATAAAAGGTGTATATTTTCTAGACTAGACATGCCCCCTCTACCTGATGTGAGAATCAGGATCCCAGCCAGCACCTCAGAGGGAGAACAGGGATTGAACCCCAAAGAATAATCATTTGAATCAACTGATTATATACAGAGTTACCATCATATAAAAGTATACTAAGTAAGGCCTTTCACGAAAACTTGTAATGTTCTTAAGTTGATGGTCATTATGAGAAATAATGACTCCGGTTATGAATTTATGTATTTCTGAATATATAAAACTATGGCCATAATTTGTGCTGTAGTCGTTTCTCAATATGGAGGAAAAGAAATAATAGAAAAAACAGCAATGGCTAAGTCTACACTCACCCACCCGCACACGCGCGCAGTTATTGCATGACTAACATAACAAATAGTCACCCTGCAAAGTGTAACAAGACTGCTGGAAGCCAGAGTGAGATTATTTTGCTTGTGGACAGGCTAGCAATGGCAGGACTTTGAGCTATAGCAGCTCAGCTTTAAGGCAGCCTAGGTTAGAGGCAGACAGTGACAGAAACCTCAGTGGGTCAGGGCAATCCCCAAAATACCACCCCTGTAGAATGGCCAACATTTCAAGGAAAATCTTACAAAGTGAATATTTAATAGGGATGAGATCAAGAGGTAGATAGAGCAGTACATGAAAATCCTGAAAAAGAACTTCATTCATTATAACAAAGGCCCAAATGATTCTCTTCCCTCAGAAAAAACAGTGAGAAGAGATTCTGAAGGCCCTTGCTGAGACCAACCGCATCAGCCCATGAGTTCCACCCAGGCACCCACAAAAGCTCAAGAGGTCTCAGGGATATGTAGGAAGCCAAAGCCAGCTATTGCAGAGCCCCAGTGCCTCCATATTGACTCCCAATGACCCTGGTTTCCTGGCTGTGTGGCTAGCAGTGTGTACCTATGGTCACAGTAGCCGCTGATCAAAAGTCTCTGTGGAAAAGATAATGAAGTGTGGAACTATATTATCATTTGTTCTTAATTTGTTGAGGTATGGAGGGAAAACAGTAGACCCGACCTAACACTAAGTGAAGTCTATGAAAAGACTCATAGACTTCAATAGGTTTTGGACTAGGCCACTGTTTAGATGCCCCTAGCCTGTCCATTTCTCTGCCTGTCTTCATCCTGACCATAGTCTTAAACCCCAGATCATACAAAATGGTTTCCACAAGTCCAGATGATTTCACTGTGCCCCATTTTCCTGTGAAATAAAAAGATCTGTTTGTAGATCTCAGAAGCATGATCAAGCTCTAGATCTGGGGTGGGCAATGATTTTTGATAGGGAGCCATTCCAAAGATTTTGGTAAGTGGTCAAGGGCCACATTTTTCTATAGCAGGGGTGCAGAGTCTGGGACAGAGGTTGGGTGCAGAAGGGAGCTTGGGGTAGGGGACTGGGTTACAGGAGAGGATGTGGGGTCTGGAAGGGAGTTTGAGTGGAGTAGGGGGTTGTGACTTGGGACAAGAGATTGGGGTGCAGAGCCTAGGAGGTGGTAAGGGTGCAGGAGAGGATTCTGACCTGGGGAGGGATGTTTGAGGGGATGTAGGGACTGGGAGGGAGTTGTGGTCTGGTGGAGGGAAGTGCAGAGGGTTTGGATGGTGACCTGGGGCAGAAGGGCATGGTGACCTGGGGCAGCATGTTGGGGTGGAGGAGGGGTGGGGTACCAGATGCCGCCTCCAGAGGGAGGCACTCACCTAGGTGGCTTCCAGCCAGTAGCTCAGAGGGACCTCAGGGGCTATATATAGAGTGTAGGCTTCTTTTGGACAAAGCTTTTCCGGAAGAGATCTTCCAGAAAAACTTCTTTCGAAAGAGAGCATCCACACAGCAAAAGCGCATTGAAAAAACGATCTGCTTTTTCAAAAAATAGCGTCGACATTCATTGGACACTATCTCGCATTTAAGTTGTGATTACTATGGACGGAATGGTCACCTGGTCACCTGTGCTTTTTCCTGGATGCCTCTTCTTTCGAAAAAAACGAACAAACCCCTCTTCCCCGTCCACACATGCCTTTTTCTGAAAGCTCTTTCACAAAAAGGCTGCTTCCTCATAGAAAGAGGTTTACCACTGTCAGAAAAACTCCTGCGTTCTTTTGACTTTCTGTTGAAAGAACACAATTGCAGTGTGGACATAAGTGTAGTCAAAACGGCTGGCTGTTCCATGTGCCTCTCTGTGCCATGCATCGGGGAGGGAAGAGACTTTGCACATTGTTCCCACTCCCAGCACAATCATCTCAGCTTCCATTTCCCCCTCTCCTTGCACTTTGAAACAAAACATATTACTCAATATCAAACCAAGTAAAGCAAAAAGTACTTTTCAACAGAAAGAGGAGATACAAAACTAGTAAAAAACACTCCCGCTTTCCCCTTCCCAATCTGTGAAAAGATGTGTACATCAAGAACTGGTTCCTTAGCTATCTAAAAGTCAACAAAAGTTTTTGCTTAACTTCAGGAAGCACAGCCACTAACAAGCATGTTTTATAGGCAGTCCCCGACTTAAGCGGATCCGACTTAGGTCGGATCCGCAGTTACGAACGGGGCTGCCCCGGAGTACTCTGGGCGAGAAAAGCTGCTCCGCGTCTCCCTAGTCTGCAGACCAGGAAGACGCGGAGCAAAGCCGCTGCCCGAGCCCCCCCTTCATATTGTCAAATGCCTTCTGAAAATTGATGAAGCAATTGTACATGTTCTTGTTCTTTCGCCAAACTTTCTCCGCTATCAATCTTAGTGCCAATATCTTCTGTATGGTTCTTCCATCTTTCCTGAATCCTGCTTGTTCATTCACTAGATGGTCTTCTATCTGCGATCTCAATCTCTGCGTCAGTATCATCAGCAGCACCTTGCTTAGATGACTTGTTAAGGCAATCATTCTGTAGTTCTTGCACGCCAGTGTGCTTCTTTTGCCTGATACTTATGTTGGCTTACCAGCCTGTAACTGCCACAATCACCTCTGGAGAATTTTTTAAAAATAGGCATATTAGCTAACCTCCAGTCATCTAGTACAGTTTCTTGCCATTTCAACCAGAAAGGACATTGTCTCAATGACTTGATTACCTGCATCCTGCTTCAAAGGCCTTTTAAGACTACACTTGAAAGAGACTCCTCTGAACTGTCATTCATGCTCAAATTCAACACTTTACACTTAAGTTTGAGTAAAGACTCTAATGATCTTATCCGTTACAAAGATAGCTTCCGCAATTATCACCTCTAATATCATTAGCTCACAGACATTTACCTCCCCCCCATTCCCCTTCTGTTCTGAAATTTGATTTGTCCTTTTCATATGTGTTCATTTTTTTAAATTGTATCCTTTGGTATATATGGTTGTGACAATTTTCTTCCACTATTTGATCTGAGGAAGTGGGTCTGGCCCACGAAAGCTCATCACCTAATAAACCATCTTGTTAGTCTTTAAAGTGCTACATGGGGACGCCTGGGGTTCTTAAGTTGATTCTGTATGTAAGTCAGAACTGGCGGTCAGTTTCAGCAGTGGCTGAATCTAGACGCCAGTTCCGACTTACATACAGATTCAACTTAAGAACAAACCTACAGTCCCTATCTTGTACGTAACCCGGGCACTGCCTGTATATAGAAATACCTAAAACAGATTCAGCAGTATTTCAACAATGAAAACAAGTAAACCAACCAACCAAAAACAAAACAACCAACAAAACCCAAAACAAAAAACACCCTAATGAGAAATTACCAGAAGGTGGCAGGCATGTTCCATCTAGAAATTAAGGTTCCAATTTCCTGGGACAAACTCCCAAGCAACATTGAAAGATTTGCTCAGGATCACAAACAAAGTAGCTTGATGATGCCCCATGCTATTTACCACAACCCCACAGGTTCATTGCCCAACTATGTAGCATTTAGCCCTTAGAAAAATGGCTAGCTGCCAGGTTTATTGCAAGAATAGCAGGTAGGAATCTCTAATCCAAAGAGATAACTTCCAGCAGCAAGGGAAGTGGAATACTTTGAACTACAATCTCTGCTGTGATCTGATAGTGTTTTTTGATCAACAGTTGGCTCAGAACTGATGTGAGTTGGCTGGCAGCATAGGTCAAGTGGGATTAGAGAGGAAGGTGATGTTAGACTCCTGGATTCAATTCCTGGCTCTATATTTCATCACAGACTTCCCCTGCGATTTTTGAACAAATCAGTTAATCTCTCTGGGCCTAGGTTCTCCATCTGTAAAATGGGGAGAATAGTAAAGCTGGGTTCAGTAACTTTCCATGTGATCAGCAGATCTCTTGCAGGGATTTTCCTTTAGCTCAGTGTCACTTTATTGGGTTTTAATGTGAGTAGGCAGACAATTACTGTACACACTGGTGTGTGTTTGCCCCAAATTGGGTACAAAGTGGGCCATGTGAGATGTCAAAGGAAAGCTTATGCTATGCAGGTTCTGTTTAAGCTACTCATGTACTTGTACAACCTGTGTGTGTGAAGTTATGAATATTGGCTTTAACCAGCCAGCCAAACCGGGTCTTCAGCTATTTTGTGCTGACAGAGCTTGCTGCTAAATCTGTCTCCAAACATTTATAATGCATTCACTGTCTTTCTAACACACCAGATAGTTTTCAAAACTGATAATGTTTAAAAACTCTGTTTCATACTTGTCTTGTCTGCCCTTTGTATGTATCCCTTCCTGGAGGGTGAGTGTGGATTAGTCAGTCTCAGACTCTGTTTCTGGTCAGTTTCATGTCTTGTTGTCCATGGACTAGAAATTCAGCAGTGTTGAAGGCTGCAGGCAAGGCTCAGGGTATATCTACACTACAGAGTTTTTTCGTAAAAACGGTAGTTTTTCTGAAAAAAAAAACCACCCTTCACTTATGTCCACACTGCAATCACATTCTTTTGAAAAAAAAATCGAAAAAACAGAGGGATTTTATGACATTGGTACACCTCTTTCTACTCCCCAGCTGGCCCCAGGTTCCACTGCCCATTTGAAAGGCACAGAGTTGGCGTTTCAAAGGGGCAGCTGCGTCTCAGCTGAGCTGGGAATCAGCTGTGCGGTGGCTGCCCCTTAGAAAAGCCACCTCCATGTGTTTCAAAAGTGCAGTGGAGCCCGGGGTCAGCTGGGAATTCCCCAGCTGATCTCGGCTCCGCAGGGCAATTCCCCAGAGCCCAGGATCAGCTGACCAGGTTCTTCCCAGATGACCCCGGAGCCTGGGGAAATGCTGTGTGGAGCCCGGGATTCGTCTCTGTGCACATTTCAAAGGGGCAGCCTTGGGGTCTGGGGTCAGCTGGGGATTCTTCAGCTGATCTTGGGCTCTGTGCAGAATTTCCCCAGACCCCGGGTTCTGCTGCCGCGGGGAGCCCAGGATAAGCTGGGAGCCCCCAGCTGACCCCAGATTCTGCTGCCACACAGAGCCCAGAATCAGCTGGGCAGTCCCCAGCTGGCCCTGGGCTCCATGACTGCCCCTTTGAAATGCCACATTGGGGTTTCAAAGCGGCAGCGCCGCACAGCTACGTGGTGCTGCCACTTTGAAGAACCCCCTCCCCTCTATCTTATGGAGGCATCAAAGGGGGGAAATTGACTTGCTTATCGGATAGTCGACTAGTCTTTAACGTCCCTACCGGAGATCAGCTGCGCACTCCAGCTGATCCTGGGCTCCGCCTTGAGCTGCCCCTTGGAAACGCTGCCCCGACGCTTCAAAGGGGAAGTGCTGCATAGAGCCCAGGGTCAGCTGGGGACTCTAGCTGATCCTCCATGCAGTGCTGCCCTGTTGAAATGCCGCAGCGGCGTTTCAAAGAGGAGGCACATACGATTAATCGTGATTTTTACATATATACACTTGTATGGACAGTGAAAAACTGCTACAAGTGAAAAGTATTATTGGCACTTGCATGTTAGTTGTTGACTTTTTGCTGTGCATTCAGTGTGAACAAGGAAAGAAGATTAATTAGTTTAACTTTCTGATATAGTCAGGTTCTCTTACACTGGATTCTCTCTATGCTTCAAAGTTTACAGACTAGAAAGATGGAGGGAAATGCATACCTTCAGATAAAAATGCACTTCTCTAAGGTGTCTTCTTTGATTTAAACTGTATTTCTATTAGCTTATTGTAGAACTTTTTTAACCACTAAACTTGTGAGACCTAGCTGTCTGCCTCTTTAAGCAAGTCTCAAAAAAATTACTATATTTTTAAGCTTGTTTTCATGATTCAGTTAGAGAGAATTTACAAGAAAAGGATTAAGGTGAATACAAAGGTATATATGGAGGGGAGGGAAATGTCTGTCTTGGGAGACAGCGTGAGTCAACAGAGTTTCTGAGGTGTCAGCTAGTTCCTTAGCTTTTTCAAAGCTGAAAGGAATAGTAGTTCCAGATGATACACACAGCACGGGATATTTGGAAACCTCTTTGCTTGTAAGGGTCAATATTCAAGCAGTAAATGTTGATTTTACTGTTCACAAACACACCCTGAAAAAAATTGTCATCCATTCTGACAAAATTTACAGCTAGATAACATAAGAAAAATATTGCTTGAGAATGTTACTTTGTATATTGTGATATGTGAGTTTGACAATATGGGTTTTCATGATTATAAGTTTTCACTTTTTGAATGTCATCATATACTATACTATATATATTTTTGTTAGACTCTAAGGCTATGTGTACACTGCCGGGTACTTGTGCAAGAACGGCCATTCTTGTGCAAAGAGTCCACACTGCCTGCCCGCTCTTGCGCAAGAAGATTTACAGTGAAGCTTGGGAGGAGAGGGCTTCTTGCACAAGAGCTATGCTCTTTTCTAACAAATGTAAGCCCTCTTGTGCAAGAGCTTTTGCGCCAGAGGGCAGTATGGATGCACGGCCGGGGTTTCTTGCGCACAAAAACCCTATGGCTAAAATGGCCATCAGAGCTTTCTTGCGGAAGAGAGCATCCACACTGCCATGGACACTCTTGCGCAAAAAGCATATGGCAGTGCGGACGTGTTCTTGCACAAGAGTTCTTGCCAAGAACCTGCCAGTGTAGGCATAAGGTGCTGCAGGATCATTTGTTGTTTTTTAATCATTTTCTAGTATTAAATAATTATTGGCTGACCTCCCTCCCATACATTTCCTAAAATTTACATTGATAAATATAAAACTAACCATTGATAGCGTCCACTGCATTTGATTTTTTGTTAATACTCGCATTGAGACGCTAAGATCTCTTGAGGAGCCACCCCCACGCAGCTAACCTAACGGAGCCGCCTACAAGAGAGCAGCAGAGGGCGCCGTGCAGGGAAAAAGCGAATCAACAGCTGGTAGGAGCCATAGAGGGAGCCAGCGTCGCGCACCAAGCCTGAGCGAAAGTTTGGCGCGGCCAGAGCCGCCGCGATGGCAGGAA